TTCAGCTCCATGGGTGACACAAGTGTGTGTACAAGAAAGGCGGACAACAGCCGGGCTCCACAGCGGACGACAGTCGACACTACGAAGGCAGTAGGGCCTGCTCCCAAGAAGAACGGAAGTGAAGAACAGGCCTCAACGATGCTTGCAATAGAAACCTAAGTTAGTGATAGCGGCACAGGAGGGCATGCTTCAAAAGGCACGGCTGTAAAGCCCCTCTGGCCAGCAAGGATGCCATGCAGAGGAGAAGAGGAAGGACGACGACGACGGCGACAGGCGAGGAGGAAGACGCGCCTTGCTGGCCAGACACGCCGGAAGTTAGCCCACTGAGGGCCAGGTGGCATGGGTGGACAGGAAAGAATATTTCAGCTAAATGCTAGGAATGCGAGGCCCCCTGTACCCAGAGCCTCGCGACCCTGAAAGCCCGTGGAGACCCCCACGAGCCCAGCCCGCACGGCGCAGGTGCCGTCACAGCCGTACGGCTGCGGTACCACCATGTGGCCGCGGGGCTGTGAGATCGTTAGCCGCTGTCAGTCGCACATGTTCCTGCTCTACGTGCTGATCGCGTTCCTCGTGGGACCTCGTAGAGGTGATCTCTCCCAGCGACCCTACAGAGGCTGCTTGGGTCCGCTGGTCTCGCCCTTGTCTTCGGGCCTACCCTGTGACCCAGACCCCCGACGTCATGATTTTTTCATGACGCGACCCCCAGAGGTCCGGACCCATTCCCCGGGACCGGTTTTTCATCCCGAGTCGTTTTTTGACGGTCCTGAGGGCCGGTAAGGACCCCTGGAGGCCGAAAATAGCGAAAAACCTCGCGTCATGATTTTTTCATTACTCGAGGGGGTCTGGGGACACAGTCAGGCGCGGCAGCGGGCAACAGTCCCACTGGTGGCGTGCCGCTGGCCGACCGAGGCCCCCAAGCGGCCTCCCGGGGTCACCGAGCCGCGCTTCCCACAGCCTGCGTCGGCCACCTTGTCGGGCCCTCCTGCGGCCTCTCGCGTCACCGACCGGAGGTTCCCACAGCTTCACGTCGGTGACCTTGTGGGTGCCCCAAGCGGCCTTCTGAGGTCACCGACCGGAGGTTGCCACAGCTCACGTCGGTCCCCCAAGCGGCCTCCTGAGGTCACCGACCGGAGGTTCCCACAACCTGCGTCGGCGTCCTTCTAGGACCCCCATGCATGTATCGAGTTGGGAGGATGGGGTTGGGAGAACTGATCATATCATTAAGAGCATCAAGTATGTTGCATGTACTTATTTGAGTGGCATGTGCACGGGCATTGGCCGTCGCATCCTCCAACCCCCCTGCAGCTTGAATTGCCTGCCGGTTGCGCTGGCAATTCCGCTTGAACTTGAGTTGGTTCTTCGCTCTTATATCGCTGGAAACGACGTTCCCGCTCATCGCATTCACGCGTCTCTCCTCCATCGTCAGCTGTTCCTGCTGAAAAACCCTGCTCTGCGCGTCACTGGCTGGGCCCCCTACAGTTTGGAATTGCCTCTGGGTTCGATCGGCAGCGATGCTGCACCGCCCGTGCCAACGACGCATGCAGAAGCCATGGCGCAACCCATGCAGCACGGAAGTGGACCAACGCAGTAGTGAGTCCGTATCGGGAAGGGGACGCCATACGGAAAAGTATGTTTTGAGTGTTTTGGTTTGTCGTCGAAGTTTCCCTTGTAGGGGGACGCGCCCGATTTAACAGTAGTGAGTCCGTATCGGGAAGGGGACACAAAAACGGAATTCACGTCTACTTGATTATTTCCGTATCGGGAGCCGAGCGCAATACGGACTCTGCTGCGGCCCCGCGACCTCCCAAAATTTATATTGGAACGAGGGACAGTTCAGCATACAGACCACAATACGGAAGCCGACGCAGAATTCATTGTTCACTGGGTAATTGCCAGATACACCCGGCATTGCTCATGCAGTGTTCGCCGCGTCACTTCAACACCTGAGATGGTCCAAGACAGCTCTGAGAGGGCCCAGAACACGCACACAAGAGGGCTTTTGGACGGCCCAATCGAAGGCCTCGGCAGGGCTCTAAGAGAGCCCCGAGGGCCACGAAGTAGGCTGCAGGGTGCAACCCGCGTCTTGGGAAGTCCCCAGGGGTCCAAGATGGCCCCGAGAGGGCCACGAAGTAGGCTGCAGGTTGAAACCCGCTTCTTAGGAAGCTTGCGCGGTGTTGGATTGGCGGCCCATGCGCTGCGGTGACAACACGTTTCCCCTTCGCTAGATTCAGGCGGCCAAAGGTATCGTCCATCGCATCCGGATGCTTTTGCTCATACCCTGCATTCTCCCAACCCTTTCCTACCAACACGAGAATTGTCTTTCTCACATGCGGCCTCCTGAGGTCACCGAGCGGAGGTTCCCACAGCTTCCGTCCCGTGGCTTGCGCCGCATCGCGTCGGAAACATTTCCGGCACCGTTTCCGAATCGAGTGTTGCGGCAGGCGCATCCGCCTTGGGCAGACGTCCAGAAGTTCCCTTACGAGGAGCGTCAGTGTCTTGGGAGGCCCTTCACGGAGCTGTTCAACGTGGGGCTTTGTCTTGCGTGGGGCAGGAACTGGCGCGAGGGCTCTTCAGCGTCAGTGTCTTGCATCAGGCACAAATAGTTTCCCCGCCCTCCACGCCCTGAGGCTGCAGTGGGACTGAGTAGGGTGGCGGTGGCTTCTTCTGGCCCGGGGTCCGTTTGGCACCGGCTCGTCCCAAAATTGGTTTCTCCGTCTCCGATTGGCCCGTGTGATCGTTGGATGAACAACATGGCGAAGATGGAATTATCCCAGTGCGACCCTACCTAGGAGTTGGAACCCCTAGGAAAGCAGCAATAGTAGTAACAGTAAAGCTAAGCTAAAGCTAAGCTAAAGCTAAGCTAAAGCTAAGCTAAATAGAAGCTAAGTCTAAGCTAAAGCTAAACTAAAGCTAAGCTAAAGCTAAGCTAACGCTCAGCTAATGCCGCGCTATGCTATGCTATGTTATGGTCTGATATGCTATGCTGCGCTATGCTTTGCTATGCTAGGCTATGTTATGATATGCTATGCTGCGCTATGTTATGATATGCAATGCGATGCTACACTATCATATGCTATGCTATGATGCGCTGTGCTATGCTATAATATTATGTGCTAAGCTATGCTATGCAATACTGTGCTATGTTATGCTATGATGTGCTATGCCATGCTATGCTATGCTACGCTAAGCTAAGCTACATTAGGCTAACCTCAGCTCGGCTAAACTATGCTGAGGTAATCCAAGCTAAACTAAGCTAAGCTAAGCCGAGCTAAGCCAAGCCAAGCTGAGCTAGGACGAGATAAGCTAAGCCAAACTAAGGGGGCGCTATGCTAAGCTATGCTAAGCTATGCTATGCAATACTGTGCTATGTTATGCTGTGCTGTGCTATGTTATGCCATGCTATGCTATGCTACGCTAAGCTAAGCTACATCAGGCTAAGCTAAGCTAAGCTAAGGTAATCCAAGCTAAGCTAAGCTAAGCTAAGCCAAGCTAAGCTAAACCAAGCTAAGCTAAGACGAGATAAGCTAAGCCAAACTAAGGGGGCGCGACTGGGGGAACCGCGGGGCGGGGACTGGGGAACCGCCCGGGGCGCTTTCCACTGCCCGGCCCTTTTAAGCTAGAGAGTGAGAACCCTTCTAGGCAGAGCCTAGGTAGGGAAAAACGCAATACAAAAAAACGTTTGGCGCTCCGCGCGGATTATTTGGAACCCTCGTAAGGCCCCACGGCGTCGCCCCAGGCGCGCTCCGCGCGACAGGGAGGGGGTTCCAGCGCAAATCCAAGAAATCCGCACGGACCGTCGAAAGTTAATGTTCATGCAGTTCTTCGTTTTTTTGTTGTTCGTTTTTTTTGTAACATGGCAACAACAGCAGCAACATTGCGTTGCAACCAGTATCTCGGACGAGCGCCTGACCCATCACGCCCTTGTAGTCGCAGGGACCACCTGGTTTGTATCCACCAGGGCTTGCGGCCCACACTTTGTAGCAGAGCTGGGCGAACCTCGCGGGCCGCGACGGACAAGCCCGCCAGCGTTTGTTGCGTGGGGTCTCCCTGCAAACTCCAGGAGAGGAAAAAACACACAGACACAATTAATCCTCGATTCCCCAAAAATTATGGGAAAATATGGGAAGTGGGGGCGAAGACAAAAACTCAGAACATATAGGAAAATATAGGGGATATTTTTTTGTGTGTATTTATTTGTGTGTCCTGGGGGCCCTTCAAAACTCCATAGTCAGAAGATCCGTAACTCCGTAACTCGTTTTTGTTCCGCCTCCTGATCCCGCGACGTGTTGGCACAGCGGACCCGGCGTGTCGCCTGAGTCTTCCCCACGGTCCATGATCTTCCAGCGTAGAATCTGCAAGAGCTTCACGAATGGAGGACGGGCGGTTTTCACATTGTGGCTCTCGCTGTAGCGTTGCGCACCTTCGTTTCTTTCACATGCTAAAGTTTCACGGATGGAGGGCGGTTTCTTTTCGACATGTGGGTTTCGCCTTCGCGTTCGGCGCATTCGTCTTAGCAGTTCGCAAGAGTTTCATGGATTGAGGGCGGTTATTTTTCGACATGTGGCTCTCGGTTAGGTGCGCGGCGCACCTCATGTTTAAACGTTTCCAGTAGTTTCCATGATTTTAGTTGATTGTTTTCGCGCTAGAGAAAGCGTCCTGGCACGATGTAGGACTGTCAGGGCGCATCTGTCACGCTGATTCGGGGTCTTGGAATCCCAGGAGTGGCGTTCCGGCACGACTCAGGATTGATAGGACGCAAGAGTAACGTAGATTCTAGGCGGTGAAGTCCCAGGGATGGTGTTTTGGCACGGTTCAGGATTCTCACACGGATGTCTTCCAACGGGGCATTCCCCCCCTGGAAATAAATTGTTGTAGGGACTTGCGAAGATGAAAATTCGAGGGAGGGTTTATTGCAGCATCGTTGATGAGTCTTTCGTTTGCACTGGTCCTCTTCCTCCTCCTCCTCCTCCTCCTCCTCCTCTGCCCTTGCCCCCGCCGAGGTCCCGCCGAGCCCCAGCGGCCTGGACAGGCAGAAGGGCGTCAACCCCGCGCAGGCCCCGCCCGATGAGGGCGAGGAGCAGCAAGGACGCAGGGAGGAGGATGAACAGGAGTAGGGGGAGGAGGGGGAGGAGGAGGAGGAGGAGGAGGAGGAGGAGGAGGAGGAGGAGGAGGAGGAGGAGGAGGCGGAGGAGGAGGAGGAGGAGGAGGAGGAGGAGTGTCGTACTCCCTCGTGTTTTTGACAAGCCTGTCATCTGGCGTGGAGATGCGCAATGACATCCTAGCGTATGGGGGGACGAGAACAGAGACACGGACGAGGACTTTCGCGTCGCAGCGCGGCAGAGGCAATCTGCACGCGCGTCATGTGCGAGACCGGGACACGACGTCGTGAATTAGCCCGCATGCAAGAGGGAGGGAGGAAGGCGAGGGGGGCGGCCGCGGAGGGGGCCGGCCGGGCGCGGGGGCACTCCCACGCAGCGGGGCTGCCGCGGCGAGCGCGCGGGGGGCGGCTGGGCGGAAGGGCAGCCCTTGGCAGCTGCCGCGGGGCGGCGTCGCGGAGCACCGGGGCGCCAGGCGGGCGGAGGCGGCGGCGCGGGAACAGGCGGCGGCCAGGGGCAAGTGCGCCTGCGCTGCAGCAGCTGCGAGGGCGGCCCCTGGGCGGAGAGCGGTGGGCGGGCCAGCGGCGAGGCCACCGAGCGGCCGGACAGCACGCCGCGACAAGGACGAGGACACGGAAGGCGCGGGAATTTGAGCAGCACGCAACGGTTAGGCTGTCTTCCCAGTGCCGCTGCCGCTGGGCCCACGGAACAGTAGCAGCAGGAAGAGCAAAGGAGGCTCGGCGCGATCGAAATTTAGATGCGACCGAGTCACCGATGCCGCTACACGGTTTTCTTTTTTACTGTTATTCGGGCCTCCTGGGAGGCCCTCGTCGCCACGATTGGATGCTCGAGCTTCTGATCAGAACGCAGCCCTCGAGAGGTCGAGGGAGTGCGGTCAGGAACTTTAGCTTAGCGTGTCGCTCCGCCCGATCTGGCTCACCGCGCTTCGGAGCGAGCCGTCATCCAAAACACGCCGGCGCGTGTCAGCGTAGCGCAAGACGGAGGAAAAAGGGAGGAGGAAGGAGGAGGAGGAGGAGGAAGAAGGAAGAGGAGAAGGAGGAGGAGGAGGACAAGGAGGAGCAGGAGGAGGATCATGAGGGGGAGAAGGAGGACGACGACTAGGAGAAGGAGGAGGAGGAGGAGGCGAAGGAGGCAAAGGAGGAGAGGGAGGGGGAGGAGGAGGAGGAGGAGGAGGAGGAGGAGGAGGAGGAGGAGGAGGAGGAGGAGGAGGAGGAGGAGGAGGAGGAGGAGGAAGAGGAGGAGGATGAGGAGGAGGAGGAGGATGAGGAGGAGGAGGAGGAGGAGCAGGAGGAGGAGGAGGGGAGGAGGAGGACGAGAAGAGGAGGAGGAGGAGGAGGAGGACGACGACGACGACGAGTACGAGGACGACAACGACGACGAGGACGAGGACGGGGACGGACGAGGACGAGGACGAGGACGAGGAGGAGGAGGAGGAGGAGGAGAAGGAAGAGGAAGGGATGGATGAGGAGGAGAAGGAGGGAGAGCAGCAGGAGGAGGGAAGAGGAGGAGGATGGGCGAGGGGGGAGAGCAGCAGCAGCAGCAGGAGGAGGAGGAGGAAGGAGGAGGAAGGAGAGACAAAGGAGGAGGAGGTAGAGGAGGAGACGAGGACGAGGACAAGGAGGAGGAGAGGAGGAGGAGGAGGACAAGGAGGAGGAAGAGGACAAGGACGAGGACGAGGAGGACGAGGAGGAGGAGGGGGAGGAGGAGGAGCGAGGAGCAGGAGGAGGGCGAGAAGAAGAAGGGGTATGACGAGAGAGGGGGAGGAAGGAGGAGGGGCAGAGGGTTGGAGGTGGGAGGGAGGGAGGAAGAGATGAGGAAGAGGAGACGGAGGATGGGAGAGTGTGGAGGAGGTGGAGGAAGAGGAGGAAGAAGAGGACGAGGAGGAGGAGGAGGAGGACGAGGAGGAGGAGGAGGAGGAGGAGGAGGAGGAGGAGGAGATGGAGGAGGAGGAGATGGAGGAGGAGGAGGAGGAGGAGGAGGAGGAGGAGGCGTGGATGAGGGTACGGAGAGGGAGGAGAGGGAGGAGGAAAAGGAGGAGGAGGAAGAGGAGGAGAAGGAGGATCGAGGAGGATGATGATGAGGAGGAGGAGGAGGAGCAGGAGGAGGGAGGATGACGAGAAGGGAGTTGGACGATCCTGAAGCCAGCGAGAATTGCGAGACGGTCTCGCCGTACGACCTGGGGACCACCTGTTGTCTTGTGCCCATCCTGGCTGCCGAGCCCCTCCCTCCCGTCACCAAGCGTCTCAAGCTTGGCATGTGTTCCCCCCTCAGGTTTTTTGTTTGTTCTGGCAATGTCACCATCGACGGATAAGTTCTCCATCCTGGAGACGGCATTGTGTTCGAGTGTGTTGGTTGGGCGGTGGTTCAAGCGGACCGCTGCGCGGATTTTGATGGCTCCCTGTATATGCTGCCTTGCCCCACCCCGTCAAGCAGGCTGGTTGTTCAGATCTCGTTGCTCTCCTCATGTTTGGTGGTAACCTAGGGAAGGGGCCTGTGACGGTCGCGTGTGAATGTACGATGGTGGCCGACACATGGGGCCAAGACCCCACCACCTTCTAGGCGTGCTGGCGTTCTCTCATCCTTGTAGGCAGAAGTTTGCCAAGTTCCAGGGCCTCTCTGCTCAAGTCACGGTCGAGAAAATTCGAAACCACTAGTCTTCGGCAACTGCTAGCACCCAGGGCTGCGCCAGGTGGACCTGGAGAGGCAACCGCCAGGCCGACCGTTTAGCCAAAGTAGGTGCTCGACTGCACCATGTGCCCCAAGCCCTGATTGGCGAGCTCAAGGCGCAATATGTTTCTCTTCGCCCTTGTGGTGTCTTTGATCGGCGTCGCCCTGCCCAGGATTCTCCGAGAGGCGGACAAGCTCAGGACCAGGCGGCTCAAACCTCCCGCTGGGCTCGAATGTTGGCCAGAGCCCCAGGGCCAGCGTCCTGGAGGTAGGAAAATGGGTGTGGTGCAAAGGGTTGTGGTTCTAATGTTGGGGAAGATGTGGATCTGGCGATGCTCTCTATCGTAGATAGCATTTGCACTCCTACGATTTGCACCACAACCCCTTTTATGCCACACCCCTTGCCGACTTCCAGAACTATATTGCTAAGGTGGGAAAAAGATCCGCCTGCGTCATATCGATCTCGAGATTGATCGCGAGAAGCGATCTCTGCGCTTCCTTGTACTGGCCCGCCCAGGCCTGCCAACCTGGCCCATCACACGCGCCGTCCTGGTGCGGAGGAGGGGGACTGGCCTGGTGTTACGCTTGTGGGGCGCTCGGCACTCAGCGGGTGACGTTCCTAGCCGAAGCCTGTATTGAGGGTTGGAACGAGGCAGCCAGCACACATTTCAGCCTTCTGACAGCGGAGGTGAACCCGTCTTCCCACAACTCCCCCGGGAAATCTTGCGAGCTTGTTCGTGAGAAGACCTCTTAAGCGCCGTGCGAAGTTCATCCCTATTGTTGTACCCGGTGTTGCGTCAGCGGGACGACGTGCGCCAAGAACCCAAGGAGGAGGATGAGGACGAGGAGGAAAAGGAGGAGAAGGAGGAGGGAGACAAAAAGGGACGAGGGAGACGAGCAGACAGTAGAAGTAGGACGGGGGACAAGGAGGCGGAGGTGTGAGGAGGAGGAGGAGGCGGAGGAGGAGGAGGAGGAGGAGGAGGAGGAGGAGGAGAAGGATGAAGATCAGGAGGGGGGCGGAGCGTGAGGAGAAGCAGGCAGGGAGAGGAGGAGGAGGAGGAGGAGGAAGAGGAAGAAGCGGAGGAGGAGGAGGAAGAGGAGGGAGAGCAGCAGAGGAGGGAGGACGAGGAGGAGGAGAAGGAGGAGGAGGAGAAGGAGGAGGAGGAGGAGGAGGAGGAGGAGAGTGGAGGTGAAGAAGAGAGGAGGGAGAGGAGCAGGAGGAGCAGCAGCAGGAGGAGGAGGAGGAGGAGGAGGAGGCAGAGGCGGAGGCGGAGGAGGAGGATGAGAGAAGTGGGTGGGAGGGAGGGAGGAGGAGGAGGAGGAGGAGGAGGAGGAGGAGGAGGAGGAGGAGGAGGAGGAGAGGAGGAGGGAGGAGGGGGAGGTGGGAGGAGGGAGAGGAGAGGAGGAGGAGGAGGAGGAGGAGGAGGAGGAGGAGGAGGAGGACGACATCGACGACTGCCGCCCAGCGCGCCCAGGTGCAGGCGAGCGGCGCCACGCCGATGTCGGTTTTGGGCGGCCGGAAGGCCCTTCCCTTCGAGGAGGAGGCGAGGGAGGAGGAGGGGGAGGCTTCGGGCTGCGAAAAGACAGCGCCCCAGGCGTTTCTCTCTGGCCGCAACCGCAACAACCCCCTCGAGTAGGCCCAGGGAGGCCGCCGGAGGCGGCGCCAGTGTGTGGAGATTGCCCTGGGCGACTCGGCGTGCCTGTTGAGGCCAGCTTGGACTATCTGGGGGCGGGTCATACCCCGAAGTCTTACCAAAGGAGCAGGGGAGCGAGGGGGAGGAGGGACAGGAGGAGGAGGAGGAGGAGGAGGCGGAGGAGGCGGAGGAAGAAGAGGAGGAGGAGGAATAACGGAGGAGGTGCTTGAAGTTATATGGCTTGAGGGCGCCTTCACCCGGTTGGTGGAAGTAGAGGGCTTGTGGAGTGTATCACTATCGTGTAGCACTCGAGGACGCGGCAATCATGGAGCAACATTGGTGGGATTGCTGGGGAGTTTCCCAGAATCCCCGCTGGCTGCGTTCCAGCACAATGACGGGGGACGGGGGGGGCATGAGAAGGCCGAGGGGCGGGAGGCCAAGGGGGGAACCAGAGACGCAGGAGGAGGAGGAGGAGGAGGAGGAGGAGGAGAGAGGAGGAGGAGCAGGATGATAAGGATGAAAAGGGGAGGAGGAGGAGGAGGAGGAGGAGGAGGAGGAGGAGGGGGAGAGGAGGCAGAGAGGAGGCAGACGAGGAGGAGAGGAGAGGAGGAGGAGGAGGAGAGGAGGAGGAGGGAGGAGGAGGAGGAGGAGGAGGAGGAGGGAGGGAGGAGAGTCAGGAGGGTCAGAGGAGGAGGAGGAGGAGAGGAGGGAGGAGGAGGAGGGGAGGAGGAGGGTCTCGCCAAAGGTCCGGGCGCAAGGGCCAGGCTCGCAGGGCGCTCGTCAGACAGCGCCTCCGACGCTCGAGGGGGAGGTGGGGGAGGAGGAGGAGGAGGAGGAGGAGGAGGAGGAGGAGGAGGAGGAGGAGGAGAGAGGAGGAGGAGGAGGGAGGAGCAGGGGAGGAGGAGGAGGAGGAGGAGGAGGAGGGGAGGAGGAGGAGGAGGAGAGGAGGAGGAGAAGGGGGAATCGGAATTGGAATTGGTGAAAGCGCGAGCGGTTATGAGGAGGAGAGGAGGAGGAGGAGGCGAGGAGGAGGAGGAGGAGGAAGGGAGGAGAGAGGAGGAGGAGGAGGAGGAGGAGGAGGAGGAGGGGAGGGGGCAATAAGGAGGAGGAGGGCAATAAGGAGGAGTAAAGCAAGAGGACGGTGGAGGAGAGGGGAGGAGGAGGAGGAGGAGGAGGAAGAGGAGGAGGAGGAGGAGGAGGAGGAGGAGGAGGAGCAGGAGGAGGCGGTGGCAATAAGGAGGAATGTAGCACTAATAAGGAGATGGCTGAGGAAGAGGATGAGGATGACCGGTGTGAACCAAAGGGGCATCAACAATGTTGCAGTGAACGCTCCGTGCAAGCTCCTTGTTCACAGGCCCCTACAACGTACCATTGCTTCTGAGGGAACTGCCTC